GCATATGGAGCAGAGGTCCATCAGTGGCTATTAGCCACAAGGTATAGCTAGGGGCTCTGGGGCAAGTGATGCTCTGTCTTCTTGGTGCTTGGGGGGGGGGGGCAACAGTGGGGGGGCTTCTAATGTCCTGGCCCCACTGGTGGACCTCCTGATGGCACTGGTATTTCTGGCCACTGTGTGACACAGAGTGTTGGACTGGATGGGCCTTTGGCCTGATCCAACATTGGCGTCTCTTATGTTCTTATGTACTTATGTAGGAATGCATTATTCATGGGAACTGTAGAGAGGAGATGGTCACAGGCCTGTAGTTACAGTGGGGCAAGGCTGGGGCAATGCCCCCTAAATTAAGAGCCACTCCCCACAAGTCAGGCTGTGTAGAGCAGTATTTTTTATACTCCTCAGTGAGGAGGGAGTCACAATGTGAGAAATGCCAGAGAGGAGCCTGCCTTGATGGCCACGAGGCAGGATGCCCTCTGGGAAGAAGAACAGCTTTTCCTGCTGCTCCAGATCTTTTATTCCAAGCCCTCCTCTTTTCCTATTGGTCCATTTTGGCTCCAAAACCTCTCAGGGGCTTCTGGGAGTTGTAGGCCCAGCCTCTCCTACTGCTAGCCAGGCTTCCTGGGCCTAGTGGGCCTCTGGTGGCACAGCCCAGATCATGACACACACCCCTTTCTCATTTTTTGTCAGACTTGCAGGGGTTTCCTTGTTGAACTCCAGGCCTCCCCTGGAGGTTGACGACCCTGCCTTGCTGGGAAATTCCTTGGGGGGGGTTGGAGGAGTTTGGAGAGGGACCTCAGCGGGATCTAATGCCATAGAATCCACCCTCCCAAGCAATGCTCCCTCTAAGCTGTGGAGTCTTGTGATCAAAAATTCTACTTTGCGAGTTCCTGGCGTTAAACGTTGTGAACGAGCGATTTGGCTACTGCATAAATGAGTCTGCTCCGGAGCCATCCTTTGTGGGCTAAGACAAAAATATGTGAGCCAGAGGCTAACAAACTGTGGAGCTAACTCACACTGACTCAGCTTAGAGGAAACACTGCTCCCAAGTCTACATTTCCTCCAGGGGAAATGATCCCTGTAATGTGAAGATCAGTGATAATTCCAGGTGAATTCCAGTCCCCAGCTGGAGGCTGGCAACCAGGACTGAGAGTCCCAGTTTAGAGGGGGGGGGGGGGATTGTATTCTGTAGATTCAGGCTGTTCCGAAAAGCTGCAAAGGGATTTCAACTCTCACCTGGTCTGTTATGTATTGAGACTAAGCCATTCCTCAAGCTGTCCCAGGAACGGGTCGAGCTTGCTACTTTAGAACAACAGCTCGCCAGGATCCTGGAGCTAGCCAATAGATAAGCGGTGTAATGCAAATAGAGTGGGTGGGTGTTGGGTGTGGTGTTTGCAGGCTTCATGAGCAGGGCTCCAGCCCTGCTAGTTGTCCTTGTAGTTTGCTGAAATCACTTAATAAACCAGAGCTGATCACTGCAATGCGTCTAGAATAAGAACATAAGAGACGCCAATGTTGGATCAGGCCAAAGGCCCATCCAGTCCAACACTGTGTCACACAGGGGCCAAAATCACCAGGTGCCATCAGGAGGTCCAGCAGTGGGGCCAGGACATTAGAAGCCCTCCCACTGTTGACCCCCCCCAGCACCAAGAAGACAGAGCATCCCTTGCCCCAGAGCCCCTATCTATACCTTGTGGCTAATCCAGTATGTAACATGGTCCTTCAAAGCTTTTGTGTCGGACCCAAAATGAAATGGAATCCTGCTCAAAGGCCGAGCTGACGGCTGCCCAGCATTGTTGCTCTGGACGTCAGCGAGAGTCCCGTGCGCATTTAGCGGCCGGGGTGGCTCCTTGGGCCTTGTCCAAAGAACTGGCCTTGGGCTTGGATTGCTTGGAGGCCTCGCGGGCACAGGGTCGCAACAGAGAAACACAGAAGAAGTAAAAATATACCGATTGCGTAGACGCAGTTGGCAGTCCCAGGGCCAAACAGTTTCTGAGAGTTGCTGTGTCAGTCTGCAATAAAACAGTTAGATTCGGGTCCAGTTGGACCTTTGAGACCAGTGAGATTTTTGGGGTAGGTTTCCAGAGTCGAAGCTCAATATCTGATGAGGGGAGGTTTGACTCTCGAAAGCTGATACCCTGAAGCATTGTGTGTTCGTGTGTGTTCAGCTGCTGGGGAGAGGCCATGGATCAGTGGTGGAGCACCTACTTGACAAGCAGAAGGTCCCAGGTTCAATCCCCAGCATGTCCAGCTCAAAGGACCAGGCAGGAGGTGATGGGAAAGACCTTGCCCTGAGACCCTGGCTCAGTGGCAGAGCCTCTGCTTGGCATGCAGAAGGTCCCAGGTTCAATCCCCGGCATCTCCACTTAAAAGGACCGGGCAGGAGGTGATGGGAAAGACCTTGACCTGAGACCCTGGCTCAGTGGCAGAGCCTCTGCTTGGCATGCAGAAGGTCCCAGGTTCAATCCCCGGCATCTCCAGTCAAAAGGACCAGGCAGGAGGTGATGGGGAAGACCTCCACCTGAGACCCTGGAGAGCCGCTCCCAGTCTGAATAGACCATGCTGACCTTGATCTGATTCAGTATAAAGTAGCTCCATGTGTTACAGCTCACAGCTTTCCTGTTCCTCCAGTGTAGGAACCACCTGCTGAGTATTAAGTCCCACCTGGCAAGGGCATTGCACGCTTTCCTGCAACACGGCGCAGGTGGCACATTGGGGGAACAGTGCTCAGCAGGAGCCGCTGGTGGCATGCCAAAGAGCCACACGTGAGTGAGCATCGCTGCCCCGAAAGCATGAAATAGATGTGGGGGAAATGCCGGCTAGAGAGAGCAGCTGGGAGCTTTCTCAAAAGGAGGGGGTGCATAACCCGGCAGACGCTTTCCAGGAGCTGGGAGTTCTTGGATGAACCTCGAGGACTTGGCCAAGCTTAGTCATGGCTAGTGTTCCCTCTAAGCTGAGTTAGTGTGAGCCAGCTCACCACCCTGGAGAGCCGCTCCCAGTCTGAATAGACCATGCTGACCTTGATCTGATTCAGTATAAAGTAGCTCCATGTGTTACAGCTCACAGCTTTCCTGTTCTGTTGCTGAGTAGGAACCACCTGCCGAGCATTAAGTACCACCAGGCAAGGGCATTGCACGCTTTCCTGCAACACGGCGCAGGTGGCACATTGGGGGAACAGTGCTCAGCAGGAGCCGCTGGTGGCATGCCAAAGAGCCACACGTGAGTGAGCATCGCTGCCCCGAAAGCATGAAATAGATGTGGGGGAAATGCCGGCTAGAGAGAGCAGCTGGGAGCTTTCTCAAAAGGAGGGGGTGCATAACCCGGCAGACGCTTTCCAGGAGCTGGGAGTTCTTGGATGAACCTCGAGGACTTGGCCAGGCTTAGTCATGGCTAGTGTTCCCTCTAAGCTGAGTTAGTGTGAGCCAGCTCACCGTTTTCTAGCCTCCGGCTCACACATTTTTGTCTTCGCTCGGGGAGGAGGGCTCCAGAGCCAACTGATTTACGCAGCAGCCCAATCGCTCGCGGCTCTCAACGTTTAATGCTGGGAGCTCGCAACGTAGGATTTTTGCTCACAACACTCCACAGCTTAGAGGGAGCATTGGTCACGGCAGCTGTATTTTAGGCTGAGCACCTGTGCACCCCCTCTTCTCGGCTCTACCCTGTGCATGGCACACTTGCCGGCTCACCAGCATCTTGGCCAATAGCTTATTTTCCCCGGGAGAAGCATTCACCCCTGAGCTTTGCAGCACATGACAGAGAGCATGAAGGGCAGGGTACCAAGGCCTTGGGCTGCTCCTATGCCGCTGAGCCTCAGGCTGTGGTCACACGGTCATTTTGATCGGGTTTCACTGCTGTTCCCTCTCAGATTTAAAACTGCTGATCAGACGCCCGCATCTGTCTCCCGCACTGAAGTGGGCTCACTGGCGCGATCCTCCCGGGTCCCTAGCGAGTTCTCCGACACTGGGGAAATCAAGTAGTTTCCGGTTCTGTGCGCTTTGAATCTGCGATTTGCCTATCTGGACAGCCATCTCTCGCAATGATTGCGATTACATCCTTTTTTTTTTGCCGGCTTTCAGCATGGTGCGCACATGTGCATGTGTGCATGCGTGTGCATATGTGCGCATGTGCACATGCGCATGTGTGCATATGTGCACGTGCGCATGTGCACACACACAAATAATTTTTAAAAAATTGTGCTGCGCCGCCACTTGGGCAGTGCGGCTGTCTGGAGAGTGCCTGGAGCATTGTCGCGCCAAGCGAGCGGTTGGGCCGGGGATGTGTGATCACCTGAACCCGCGTAAAAATATCCCCAATCAAATCTACAGCGGGAACAAATCGTGGTACGCTTGCCGTGTGTCCACAGCCTCAGCGCTCCCGGGAAAGAGGTGGGTTTTTAAGGGCACCGTTAAAGAACAGCTGCCCAGAGATCTGCCTGCCTGCCTGCCTGGGGCGCCATCTGTGCTCATGTTCTGAAATGTCTGTGGGATACCCTGCCGTTCCTTCTCCCCCCTCCCTCTCTCACGCCCGCTCTGCTTCCTGCACACAGGAGATCCTCCGGGAGGGCGACACGGACCACGACGGGGAGCTGAATTTCGAGGAGTTTGCCCGCTACCTCCAGGAGCGCGAGCGGAAGCTGCTGCTGATGTTCCACAGCCTGGACCACAACCAGGACGGTAGGAGACCTTCCCTCCCCAGACCCTGAGAGCACCCCAGTTCCCCCTTCTTCACAGCCCTCTGAACTTGGAGAGCCAGTTTGGTGTCATGGTTAGGAGCGCGGACTCTAAACTGGGAGAGACGGGTTTGAGTCCCCACTCCTCCTCCACATGCAGCTGCTGGTGTCACCTTGGGTCAGTCACAGGTTCTCTCAGGGCCGTTGTCTCAAGAGCAGTCCTCAAGAGAGAGCTCTCTCAGCCCCACCTGCCACACAGGGTGTCTGTTGTGGGGAGGGGAAGGGAAAAGGGGTTGTAAGCCGCTCTGAGACTCTTGTAAGCCGCTCTGAGACCCAATCTCCTCCTCCTTCTTCTTGGCTGGTTCCAAATGTTATCTATTATTTGTTGACTTCATTGACCCCAAAGTGTCTGGTGTTGTTTTCCTCTCCTTTGTTTTTTATCCTCACAACAACCCTTTGAGGTAGGTTAGGCTGAGAGTGCATGACTGGCCCTGTGTTACCCACCTAATGAGATTCTGCTGTTGGGTGTGGCCTATTGTGCTCATGAGTTCCTGCTGGGCGTGGCCAACTCGGGAGGCAGCCGGAATTCCATTCCTGTGCGTTCCTGCCCAAAAATAGCCCTGGCTGTCAGATGGCCATCCAGCCTCTGTTTGAAAACCTCCCAAGAAGGAGAGCCCACCACCTCCTGAGGAATCATAGAATCCCAGAGTTGGAAGGGATCTCCAGGGTCATCTAGTCCAGCCCCCTGCGCAATGCAGGAAATTCACCAATACATACACACACACACACACACAGAGTGGCTGCTGTTCCACGCCCAGAAGACGACAAAAAATCTCCAGGATCCCCGGTCGAATCGGCCTGGAGAAAAACGGCTTCCTGACCCCCAAATCGGCGATCGGTATTTCCCTGGACGTGGAAGAAAGGGCCACGAGAACTAAGCACAGAGGCAATCCCTTCCTGCCCTCCCTTTTCACGAGCTTCCTAAATCCACAGCATCGTCATCGCTGTCAGAGGGCCACTGAACCTCTGTTTGGAAATCTCCCGAGAAGGAGAGCCCACCACCTCCCGAGGAAGCCTGTCCCACGGAGGGACCCCTCTAACCATCAGGAAGTTCTTCCTCAGGTTTAGGCAAAACGAAATTGCCATTTCAGCTCCTGGCTCTGGTCCGGCCTTCTGGCCTTATACCCCCGCTGAGGCCCTTCTGCTCCCCAAACCCTGCCCTCCCATACACTGCCCCCCTCCCCAACCCACCGCTGGCAACCCTTGGCTCAGCTGCGCTTGCTCCTTGCCCGGGGAAGGCGCATCCCAGAGGAGGGGAGCGTGGGCGTTCTGTTCTTCTGCCGGCCCGGAGGGAGCCGGGAAGCGTCTGTTCTGTTCTGCCGCTTCCTTGAATCAGCCCCGTCTGCTGAAGCCCTAGACGGCTCCACCGTGATGCAATCCAGGCACAGTTCGCCTCCTTGCTTGGCACCGCCTGCCTTCACACTCCCCCTGGGAACTTTCCGGTTCCTACCTGATGACTCCAGGTCCTTCTGGCAGGCTGCCTTCTGGGGAAGAAGGAGAGGAGGAGGAGGAGAAGGAGATTGGATTTATATCCCGCCCTTCACTACCCAAAGAAGAGTGAACTGAAGCGCTGCTTTGGAGTTCTGACTTGGCACAGTGGGCGCAGCCACAAAATGGCCACCACAAAATGGCTGCCAGAAGAAGAGGAGGAGGAGGAGGAGGAGGAGAAGATTGGATTTATATCCTTCACTACCCAAAGAAGAGGAGGAGGAGGAGCGGTTTACAATCTCCTTCCCCTCCCCACAACAGACACCCTGTGAGTTAGGTGGGGCTGAGGGAGCTCTCCTGAGAACTGCCCTTGAGAGAACAGCTCTGACAGAACTATGGCTTGCTCAAGGTCATCCAGCAGCTGCGAGTGGAGGTGTGGGGAAATCCAACCCGGTTCTCCCAGATTAGAGTCCACGCACTTCACCACGACACCAAACTGGCTGCGTGCTCCCTTTTGCAGAGTGCTTGGAGAGGTGGGCGACAGGGTTCCCCCTAAGCTGAGTGAGTGTGAGCTAGCTCACAGTTTTTTGGCCTCCGACTCACACATTTCTGTCTTTGCTCAGGAAGGATGGGGCTCCAGAGCAAACCAATGTATGCAGGAGCCAAGTCTCTCGCTCACAACTTTAATGCCAGGAGCTCACAAAGTAGAATCTTTGCTCACAAGACTCCACAGCTTAGAGGGAGCATTAGTGGGCGACTCCCTTCCCTTCCGCTCCAGCCTGGGGATCGTGCTAGGATACGTTGCCTTTGCGTCGAT